GCGTCCCCAGGAGCTGTGGGCATCGGCCGGGAAACGGGAGGAGGGCTCCCGCTCTCTCCTCGCCGCCTTCCAGCGCTGGGCTTTAAATACTGGGAAGCTGAGCGCGTTAAATGATAGCGTGCTAAATACGCGGTTTAGGTCTGCTCCGCGGCCTTTCGGAGCAGCGTTGAGTCCCTTCGGCAGGAAATTTAAAGTCGGAGCCTCCAGCAGTTTCGTCGGGGTCCTTTGACCCGTCAGTGGATTGCAGTGGTCCTGTAATTTGTCAGTGCATTGCAGCGATGGGACGTGCTCGCCAGCGAGCAGCTGGACAGCGAGTGGAGCTGCCCCTGTCGCCTCCGAGGTGGCCCTGGTCACCAGGCGTGTGGCTGCGGCTGTCCGATGGCCCCGTCGGGCAGGTGCGCCCCCGGCATCGGGAGTAATCCGCGGGGAAAGCATGGCGCTGTGCTGTGGCGGGTTCAGTTGAAATGGATGGTGAGTTTTGCGTGGCAGTAGCAAGCGATCCGGACTGGTTTAGAGCAGCAGCTTCTATGTGTTACTGGAGTAGTTCTGTAAGGTAAATTTTTAAGGAGAAGCAAGAGTTCACGATGGCTCATTAGAAAATAATCTTCAAGGAGACAATCAAGAAAACAGGCCTTGGGGAGGAGGAGGCGGCAGCCTGATGGGCTCTCCACTTGGTGTGTGCCATTGAGGGATGTGGGATGGACAGCAAAGTTCGTTGAGATCTCTTTCCTTTGATCCCGATTCAGAAAAGATAAACTGTGTTTCTCAACATGAGAGAGACAGAGTGACAGTGTGCCAGACTCCTGGCACAGCAAAGGTGCGTGCGGAATGTCAGATCTGTGGGAAAGGAGCCCAAATTTGGATGATTGTTCTGATATGGTGAAATCACAGAGAGGGGAGGGACTGGTGACTTGCGGTGAGTGACTGCATTGGGTGTCTTGTGGTGTACGCAGCAAGGCATTAGTGAGGACCATGTTTTCCTTTGCTTAATGAAAGCAACAAGTCTTTTACATAATGTTACAGGCATTTCAGTGATAAGAGTCATCATAAGGGGAGCCACGCCATTCTTACGTCTTTTAAAAATGCAGCCCCGTGTGCAATAAAGATCCGCTCCTTCAAAGGCTATGACTGTCAGCGTAGCTCTTGGTGCTGCCTCACTGATGCAATAGTGTTTGTCACACCAGAGGGACCTGCTGCTGGTAGTAAGTTGTGTCTGACTGAATGTTCATTGAGATTTAGAAGGTGCGGCCCAGAAAGTCTCGTGTGTTTATAGGTTTATGAAAGGGCAAATATCAGGTCTGCCTAAAACCCAAAACACTTGTTGTGACATTAAGGACCTATAGCAGTAACATCTACTGGGTATTCTCATGTAGGTTTCTCCTTCCTTTTAATTTTAAGTGATGTAGTTACATACAAGGGTGTCTATTTCAGTTTGAAATTGCTTGCTTGGTTGTACAAGTACACAAATGTAATTCAATCCACATAATGGGAGCGGGTTGTAAGAAGATGAATGCCTAATTCCTCAGCAAATGCAGGTCTGCTGTGCCCAAGTTGTTATCTGTTTTTTCTGGGCAGTTTCCTTTGCATCAGCAAAGGGGAGCAGCTGACAGTCTTCAGCAGTATGTGTGTATCCTGAGCGGTGGTAGCTTAGCTATGGTGAATCTTTTTCTTACCTAATATGAATTTACTTTTCTCAGTGGGTGGATTGCTGTGCACCTTCAGCAGAACAGGAGCCAGCAGTGTTGCATAGTCCATGCAGTTTAAAGCTGTGTGTTGCATTATTTCAGGAAGGCTTGCTCATGGAGCCAGTTTTACTGAGCAGACTTTTCCCTACAGCTGTAACAGGACATCTCTCCTGTAGAGGAGACTAGATGGGCACTCACAGTGGTGTCAGTCTGAAAATGGACTGGCTGTAGCTCAGCCAGTCTCTGCAGATGTTAGTTGGCTGAGCTTATGCTTTTCTCTGATCCCTCTGCAGTGTAGACATGACCTTTTTCTTAGGGCGATATTTGGGAATACAGTTTTTCTGCCTTCCTGTCAGAAGGCAGCAGATAATGTAAAATATGACATAACAGAATAGCTTGTTGTCAGTTTTTATTTCCCCCATCCTGTGCTTAGCTGCTGGAAGCAAACTAAATGTGACTGATTGTACCTGGAACATCATATTTAACCTGTGTATGTAACTGATCTGAAGCTTTGGGTTGTATTCAAGAAAACGAGACGTTAAAGCTTTCCTAATTGAAGCTGTGTGTCTCCTGGGTTGTGCAGGCTGTAAGGAAAGGAGATAGCCCTTGCCTGGAGCTGCAGTGCAGCAAGTCTGCCAGTAACACTTCACACATTGTCCTTTTGAGAGGGAATCCAAAAACGCGAGCCAGCTTGTCTGTGGCGTGTGGGTGCCAAAGACCTCCCCACATGGCAGCAGTTCCCTGCTAGTGAGGTGCAAGGTGTTAGAGGCCAAGTGCAGGTGGTTGCTGGCTCACTGCATGGGAGCACTGGTGGTTAACTCCTGTCGCCTGCTTCTGGGGGCTGCTTGGGAGTGCTTCTGGAGAGGGGAGCGAGAGATTTGTCGAGGCTTATAGCCCCATATCTCTCTTTGCACCACCGGGTTACAGGATGACCTTACAGAACCCGTGCTGTTACAGGGGAAGAGGTAGGAGTGCAGGAGGAGAGGGGAAAAAGAAAGAGGGGATAGTTATGGGAAGGTAAGGAAATGAGAGGGAAGAGTACAGCAGCAGAGTTCAGCTAGAAAACTGTTGGGAAACGCTATTCCAGGAGCAAGTAAAACAGCAAGTAAAAAAAGGACACAGAAGACTCACTGTTAAGGTTAAGATCCTTCGACAACAGAGGAATGTTGAATGAGAGGAAATGCAAGACCTTTGTTGACGTTCCTGCTCCTGGGCTGGTGGTGGATGGTGTGTTTGGCATTTCAGCTGTGAGTTTTGCAATAATGCAGAGCTGACAGGGGTGACCAATCTTAACTGTGGTGCAGCATGCAGAAGTTAAAACAAGTGGGCTGAAGCTGAGACAGTGTGAGTGAGTAAAGGTAGTGTAAAATACTATGCTCTTGAAAAAAAAAAAAGTAAAAAAAAGACATACACAGGCTTAGTGGGAAGGCAGTAGTGTACCATACCATAGATTATAGAGAGGACTGTAGCAGATGATAAAGGTAGGTAATGTGATATGCATCTTTGTTCTTTGCAGTGGCCACTTGAATTACAGATGTCCAATACAGCACAGAATAGATAAGGAATATATTATATATGGTAGCTGGTCTTGTCTTGAACTCTTTGTATTTCAAAAGAAAATTAAGGTTTACACACAGAAGCTATTTTTTATGGCAGCAAGGATCCCTTCTGCTTGCCAGCGCTAAAGTGAGCAAAACAAGAAATGCTTAGTTTGCCAACTCAGATGTTCTTTGCTATCTTTCAAAAGCTTTAACCTACAGCAACTTTGAACCTGCAGGTTTTTCCAGTTCTCGGAAGTAGCAGCATATGTTTCTTCTAGTTGTGATTTTAAGTTTGCAGGATAGAGGTGATAATTTTTTGGTTCCTGTGTTTTTAATGTGCTATTTTAGTGTATGCCCTGTGTGCTTTATGTAGTTGGCTTAGGGATCTGCTTAGGTGTAGTATTGTAGATTTGAAATCTAAATGCCTTACAGCCTTTATATCTACATCTTTACCTACCCATATGTGGCAAGGCAGAATAATAAGCTACAGGCAGGGGAATAAAATCAGAGAGTGAGTGACTTGTTCATGCTTGTGAAGAGGGGGCTGTAGCAAAAGCAGGTGAGAGCCAAATCCTGCAATAGACCATCTTGAGTGAAAACGTATGTTTGGTAGTTAAAGTATTCTTTCTGCCTTGAAAGATAGTAGTTGAAGTATTTTTTTAGACTAGGGTTCTGTCAGCATCTTATTATGATTAAAACTTTAAAGCTGCAGCTCTTTCCTGCTTTGCAAAACATATTCCTTATGCCATGAAAGTTGTGTGATTTTTTAAATTGAAATTAAAAATTATACCAGTTTTATAGATAAACCTTCCCCTTTACTTTTTGTCTTTCTTAAAAAAAAAAAAAAGTGTTGATAAAGGACAAATTGAGAATTTACATTCCCCTGATCCAGTGGCTTGCTGTTTTAAGTCCTGAGTCAGCATGTAAATTGCAAAGCTGTCTAGAAGACCAGGACAGTTTCTCCTGTTTTGTCTCTCATAAGGCTGTGCATTCAGGATAACTGCAATGCTGTTGGAAAGCATGACATCCCCATCTGTTGTTTTCTGTTTCCTGGTGCAGTCTTTCCTGCACGATTGCTCTTTCCTTCCAATGCTTAACTTTAGATAAGTGGCAGTGCAACAAGGATGGTATGTTCAGGATTAATATTTCTCTTTTGACATGGGTTAAGTGGCTTGTGTATATTTGATCTATTGGGAAACTCTGAGATTGAAGTGGCAGAATTTCTGTTTCCCTTGCAGCTCTGATAGTTAAAAACTTACCAGTTCTTTTGCAATGGTTCATTGCTTAATGACGGTTTTATAAAGTACCTTCTATCTCTGATGAAAGACTTATTAAGATCACTGACTTTGTGATCAGACCAAGTCAGATCCAAGTCTGACCTCAGTCCTGGTGCCCTTGTGATTTGTGCCCTGTTTCTACATGTTGCCCCAATTTTGTCACTCATCCAGTGGTCCAGTGTTTTTGTACCTTGGACAGTAACTACATTGTCTTTGCTCTCCTTTGCTCAGGCTAGCAGCTGACTGGCCTTTTGGTGGGGGTGCAGTCACCAGATAACTCAGACTCTTAGGGCAGTCTTTACTGCATTATAATTTATTTATACAATACATGTCCATTAGTTAAACAGTAATGTTACAGACATTAAACAGGAAGCTGTTCCATCCACCCTGAGAGACTGCATACCACAAGCATCAGGATAGGGAAACCCCTGTATTCATAATTCAGAAAAATTTGCCTTATTTTTCTTTCAGTTCTACTAATGGAATTCCTCTGGCACTGTTGAATTTGCTTCTTGTCTACCCTGATGTAAATTAGAGGAGTACTGAGGGGTTTGTGCCTTATGTGGCTGCATCTCTTTTGAGGCGCAGCCCGATCCAAGCCCTCAGGATGGAGTTTCTAGATATGACGGACATCTTTGAGGTAATTTCCCCCTCCCCTTTCTCTCCTTAGGGAGAAGTTCCCTCTGTGTATTTGCACTCCTATTCAAATGTGTTTTTCAGGAAGACATGACTTCAATTAAATCTTACGCTCTAATAAGATGCTTCTAATAAAAATAATAAAAGTATGATTTTAGCATGAGCCATTTTTACTAAGGTCTTGTTCATATGTGACATCATTGAAGTAAGAAAGAAATTAAAAATAGAAAATAGCATCAAAATCGTTGATGTTATAAACAGTTTTGTAAACAATTACTATAAAGCATTGTAGTGCAGCCACTTTACTCCCTTTATGTATAGAAAAATGTTATAAATTGGTTACCATGTGGTTTTACGTCCTCTATTCCCCTTTTCAAGGGAGGTAATCCAAGCCTGTGCTTTTACCCTCAGGAAACATAAATTTAGTTTAAGCCTTGTAATTTTTTAAAGATTTATTTACGCCATTTTTCTTCAGTATGGGAACTGAAAGTGTTGAAATTGCCTGACTTCAGGAGCCAAAGGATTCAGGAGAATCTTGAGATGTTTTTGAGCCTTTTGCTAAAAGCAGATGCATAGTTGGTAATGTAATATTTAGGCTGTAACTATACTCCTTAACGTAACCTGAATTTCCAGGAGAAAAGTGAAGAAGTATCTGTGGTAGGCCCAACGCTGTTCCCTGCCCCTGGGGTGGCTGGAGGAGGGCTGGCAGCGCCGACTTTGCCCTGCGATAATTCGATCTGAGTCATCGGGTGTCTGTAAGAGCAGCGTTAACTTCCGCGCCCGCTTCTTCCCTGTTGCCTTTGCCACTGTAACCCAGGAGGAGGTTTCTGCCCGTTGAGGTTTTTAGCCCAAATTGAGGTGGGGTTTGTTTTGTTTTGTTGTTTGTTTGGTATTTTTAACCATGTGTGGAGTCCCGAAAGTATGCCAATGGAAGTACAGCTCTCTGTAGCAAATTTGAGCCTGCTAATAATAGGTTTGCTTTTTTTAGCTGCCTTTCACAGACCTGTTAGATGTGCCCCATTGACCCTCCAGGGTTTTGTAAACCAGAGGTTGGAAACTGCCATGCCAATGGATATCTGGATGAATCTGCAGGAGACTGCCAAAAATTCTCAGCATAGCTGGCCTGTTTTGTTGCCCTCCTGCAGATCAGATAAAAGCTTTTTAGGCCTCGCAGGAGCCATTAGAAAAAATACATATAAATACTGATATTTTCTTATTACCTCTGCTTCGGCACGTTTTCGCAAGCTTGTTGGATTTTGGCTGCATGGAAGTGTGGCAGGAGAAGCATAGGTAAAAACCCTTTTAGTTGGGAAACTCACCTTCTCTTATGTCTCATACAAAGGAAGATTAAATATGCAGTATTTTAATTTATTTAATCTATGCAGTTCTATGTACAGAAGAAATGAAATAAAAATGAATTCTCCTGCAGTTTCTGTCCATCTGTCTGGAGCTAGCTGATTTTGTTTAAAAGGACATCTGTCCTGTGGATCTAGATTGCTTGCTGTAGCTGTAGTGAATATAGTAAGGCTAGTTATGTGTATCTGCTTTCTTTTGATGATAAAAATTTAACTTTCCTATTATTTGTCAGCTATCAAGGTACTCTGTGTGTCATAAAAGCTGTTTGGAAGTATTTCTAAAGTAAATAAAAAATCAGACTGAAATCATAAAAAGTCCATGATCTGCCCTTATCTCTCTTCTTTTTATTCTTTTTTTTCCCAGTATTGTTTTCATGTAGTTGAAATTCACCTAGTTTGTATGACAGAATGAAAATGTAACCTTTTCCCAAAGTTTAGTGTTAATGGACTTTTAATAGAGGAAATGGTTGCAATGTACATAGTAATGCTGTAGTTCTGCAAGTCATACCCATGTGCTTGACTTCACTAACATGAATAATTACATGAAAATCAGCAGGTTCACAATGATGGTGGTTTTAAGCTTGCTGTCAGTTTTACATCAGAACCTCAGGTAGCTTTCAGGCACTTCGTGGGTGAAGGCCCACATCATTTGTTTGTACATTCTTAGCAAATTCTTTGGCCGTCACAGGCGATTAAAAACCAGATTTTTTTTGACATGGCTCTTATGGTAAAAAGACAGTTTATATAGGGTGTAATAGCATATTTCAAGTGTTCATTGTAGCAGGAAGTGGATTTTTATTTACATTTCTAACTTATGTATTACATGTTTTTTGATTGTTCTTGTATTGCCAAATGCCTCCCAGACAAAAAGAAACAAAAAAGGTCTTTGCTCTGTCATGTCATTAAGCTGAATTGATGTGTATATTGTCATTGTATCTCACATTTACCTAGTGTCCTCCCTTGTAGCCTGACACCAAGATTAAGTCCTTAAGCCCTTTGCCTGCATTGTTTACATATTGTTTGCTCCAGAGCAGGAGGAGCTGACATATTCCATCTGTTTTATAAATTAAGTTCATATGCAGCATGATTGAAGGGCAGACCAGTTAGGGCAAGTTACTGCTTCCACCCTGCTACAACTTTCTTTTTTTTTTTTTCTTTTTTTTTTTTTTTGGCTTGCTCTATTATTTATATGAAAATACCAAACTGGACAACATAAACCAAAACAGATGTTTGTGTATATAAGAGCAAGGAATTAAAAAAACCTCACTAACCGCGGTCATGTAGGAGAGAAGCTGAGACTTTAAGCTCCTATAGCTTGACTTTTAAGATAATAGGCACTAAAACACATATGTATTTCTCAAAACAATGTATGGTGTTTATGTACTGATTTATTTTGTTGCCTAATGAGGCCTCTAAAGCAAGCATTAAATGGCAGAGTACATTAAATAACAAAATTTTCCTCCAGCCGTAATCAGGGGCCTGTGCTCTGTCCTCTTAACTCACTGCAGAGTTGAGTCTCCGGACTTTGAGAGTGAGGGGGCCTCAGGGCTCCCTCCAGTTTCTCCTTAGACAGTTACACAGCAATAGATTTTTATTTTTTCCCCAGTTGAGCTTCATAATATATCTGAGAGAGAGCTGTAGAACTTTTATTGGAGTGAAACTGTACTTCCTGCACTTGCAAGAGAGAATAATTTTTATTTTACTGCTGAAGTGTGCTGTTCGGGACTAAACCCACGGCTTAATGACTGTGTATTTGTTCAGCTTTCAGTCAGTCTTTGCTCATACTGACCTTAAGGTGACTTGTGAGGCTGATTCCTTTCTTAAATAGGAGTTTACTTTTCCTGTGACTGTTTGATTCCTTTGCTTTGGAATACAAAACCTTAGGGGAGAAAAAAGGCTCGGAGTCTAGGCAGAAAATCCTGAGAGTCTGTGTTCAGGGCTGTCCCAGCTTGTTACTGCACCTGTTGTGTCAAGTCTAAACTTGCGATTGAAAGTTGAACACCTAAATTACAGTTTTCTTTCTTACTTTTTAGTGTAATGTGATGTTCTTCTCAACTAAACACTGTTGTCAGGTGTGAGTCTTTAATTATGTCAGTTTTATTTTGAGCTGGCAAACAAGCATAGCAATTTTAATAAGATTATTAAACAACGCAGTGAAGGTTAACCTGTTTCCTTGAGGGAGTGGAAGAACTAAGTCTTTGAAATACTTGTTATGTCTGTGTGAACTCCTTACAGCAGTTGTGAAAAACGGGAGAAAAGGTATACATATACTAGGAGGTATAGATTTATCTGAACTTAGACTGCCAGATTGTTTGGGGAATCACTATTTACAAAAATTACATAGCTTGTCTTCCTAAATATCAGAAATCACGAGGCTACATTATAGCTGTGGTTACAATACAAAGTAATTACAACGTGTTATGTGAATTTTGTGAATGAGGAGTGGGTTTTTTGTTGTGGGCTTTTTTCTTGTTGAAGTAAATGATAGCCTCACAAGAACATTTTTATCTTATATTTCTTTTCTGTGTGATGTGTGTATAAATACAGGACTGATACGCTTTAACATTAATCCACGTGACTTTCTTCAGATTCATAAACCATCTTAAACTCGCTTGGCAGCATACTAAATGTTCAAAGTGGAAAGATTAAAAAATACCTAATTCTCCTAGTTTATTTATACAGGTTGTGTTAGAAAACAAATACTTTGAATTGTCTAGTTCATCTGCTTCTGTGCACCTAGGAAGTTTGTGCTCCTGGCTTTTGCTTCTCGCTGTCACTGCCACAGCAGTTCCAGTACCTCTCTTCGTGTCACTCACACTCAGGCGCACAACACTCATCACTTCTGCTCTTGGATGTAATTAATCATCCTGCTCATTAATAACCTTATTCTTCAGTTGTGAAAGAATAATTGTCCACGTATGAATTTGGTCTTCTTAAAAGAACAGCTGAAAAGTAAACTATCATCTCCTTCCCTGTTGTGGTAGGGGAATGACATCTCCATTTAGATGAGTAGAGCTTTCTTCTTGTACTTGATAGAACTTAGCTGTTAAATTTGGAGAAAAGTTTGAAGTCCTAGGGATTTCTGTAGTTCTCTCACTATGTTTTATGTAAAATATATCCATTTTTAAAGAATTAATGACACAATTAGCTTTAGGGTGAACTTTCTTGGCTGAAAAAATAATTAGTGGTGAACATTTTCTCTGAATGTGAATGACATAACAAACACTCTTGTTTTGCAAAGCCAGGAGAATAAGCCTCATATTTTGAAATAGCAGGAGGCTGATACCTTCCATTCAGGGATCTGCAATTCAGTGTATTTGGTAGTAGAATTATTGCAGCCATTTTTGTAGAAGGTGGGTCTTTAGAGGGTGTAGTGTTAGGAAGCATTTAGAGCACTGAGCAAATACTCTGAGTAGAAGTGTGTTTGGAGGAGATTGCTGGGTGTGTAAAGAGCTGCTTTCAAAGTGTAGCATTCCAGGTGTGCTCAGCATTGAGTGGTGGAGGGGTTGAGTGCAGATGGATTGATGCCTTGCCAAAGACTTCTGAGTACCCTCTCTGTTTTCTCTAATGCCTACATTTGGTGGGAGTTACATTGAAACACAAGGATGGCATGTACCTGGAGCATTACTCTTCCTGGTTCCAAGATGGCTCTTACTCTCTGGGTATACAAGGTATCTGCAGAGCTGGAGAGGAGAGGACAGCGCAATGTTAGTGTTGGTCCTCTTGCTACAGTAATGTCAAGTTGGCTGGAAAATGGGAAGCAAAACAAATGCTGTTGAGGGATGGGGCAAAGGTGGTGGGAGAGGCATGGCAAAGCAGAAGACTTGCAAGGGATGTAAGGCCAGAGGAGGAGGTGGGAGTGGGACACAGCTATTGTTGGGAAATTACATCCTCCAGCCAAGACTAGAAGTTTCTGTCAAGATCTTTTCTGAGTTGCGTCTTATCCAGTTTCTGCAAATCTGGATAAGACTGTACAGCTGTTTGGTTTTGCCCTTTTACCCCAAAGCTGGGAGTCAGTGGGTAAGGAGAAAGGAAGGCTCTTCCACTTGCTAAGTTTCCCAGTATGTGTAGGAAAGACCCTTCCCTTTCCCAAATATGAAGCAGAAAAAAAGGGACCCTGCCAGCTGTGACAGGACTTTTCTTCCCTCACGTGACAGTGCCGAGTTCTTGCTTCAGTTCCTGTTGTGGCCGCTCCTGTTGGCTCCTACCTGATGACTTTTTCTTCATTAAAATGCTTGTTGCCTTTCCACTTAGGGAGGTGGAGGTGGCACACAGGTAGACCTAGTGTGTAATTAAGCACTTCTTAAAAGCACTTAGAGTCTTCTGAGTAAGGAGTGTTCCGATAAGCGCAAGAGTGTGGTTTCCCAATCCATTATTTTATGTTTGATTTATTTACCTTTTTTGCTTTTTCATTTCACTTTCTGCAATTTTCCCATGTGATGACCATGCCGTTATGTGAACAGAGGTCTGGATGTCTGGCAGAGCAGTGAGCACTGTTTCTGACTCTCTTTCAGATGCAAGTATGGACATAATAGCCTATGATGATTACTCCACTCCACCGCTTCAGAGATATTGAAAGGACACCTGAATACCTCCAGCCAGAAAAGTGTGTTCCACCTCCTAGCCGCGCTTCCCTGGGAACAATGTGGTTTATTCGAGATGGCTGTGGTATTGCATGTGCTGTCGTTACCTGGATGCTGGTGTTCTATGCCGACTTTGTAGTCCTTCTTGTCATGCTAGTTCCATCGAGAGATTATGTTTATAGTGTCATCAATGGCACACTGTTCAACACCTTGGCTTTCCTCGCTTTGGCTTCACATTTTCGTGCTATGCTGACAGATCCAGTAAGTATACACCTCTCTCTGTGTGTCTCGGAAAGAAACAGGCGGTGTTTTTCTTGTCTGCTAGATGTTGGGTAAATCAGTTGCTGAGTGAGTGGCAGATTTAAATAACTTTTGTGTGTCAGCCTGCTGAGTGAGGTATGTGGTATGCTAATTTTTCGTCCCACTCAAGTCGGATGCTAAGTCAGGGACCCAGCGTTAGATTCCTGGTGTGTGAGCAGCTCCTCTTTCTGCACTGGGAAGGAGAGTGTTTCTCTCTGGTACTGTTTTCTCCCCAATGGCAGACCTCGTGTTTGTGGCTTGTTGTGTCTTGACAAACAGGAAAGCTGGAAAAGCTGGTTTTGGTTGTCTGCCTTGGCAAGTATTGCTTCAGCAGAACAGAGCAGAATATGTGTTGTTTTGAAAAGCTGTGTTACCATCTCTCATTCTACTGATTTTGTTGAGTGTATTGGACAATGCTGAAATAAATATGGTCTGAGCATGCTAAGAGATGGCAGTTCTTAGGCAAGTTTGGAAGCATCAAAGTTGTGAGATCCCCTTGTATGTATCCTTAGGACATTGCTTTGAGAGATCAGATCTGCTACTTCCTCATCTTTCAGTCTGTGACAATACAAAGTTTAGCACTATGATGCTAATTCTGAATGGCCTGTGATGGTTCATTTTGCTTAATAACCTCTGGACAGTAGGCTCAGTTCAAAACCCCATCTCCACTAGTCAGTGGAAGGAAAGACAAGTTTAGACTTCTCCTGTCTCCTTCCTCAAAAATGTTTTTGCTGCTGTTGGGAGTGATGATGTTCCTCTGATAACTCTGTCCCCCTTGAAACCTCGTTAGGTGCTCTTGAGACTTCAGTATGATCTTTGTTTCTTAGATTCCAGATCTTCCAGAAGCCCCAGCACTGCAGAAATGGCTTGATTTGGGGCATTCTCACAATTTGTAGTAAAGACACAGCTGCAGGGCAGAAGTGTAAGCAGTACTTCAGCCTCTGAAACTTCTGGTCACTGGACTCAGGAATAGAGGACTGCAGCAGTTTGTTAGATAGTTTTTGTATCCTAAGGGTGGTTGCTAATTATTGTATGTTGTGTGATTTTAATGCTTAGGGACCTTCAGGTGGCTGGAATTATTTTGCAGAGTTAGCAGCAGCAGCTCTTGTGAAACAAAAGCTGTATTTTGAAATTGGCTAGTTGGAGCAGTGTTGGAGAAGCAGATATAATTTCTGTTGAGACTAATTGGGAAAAATATGTTAATTCCTAGTGTGAGATGGGATTTATGTATGTGGATGGAGAGACAGTGGGATTTTGTTTCATTTTTTTAATGAGGCATTCAGCTAAATAAAATGCAGAAGGGAAGATACAGAGAAGGGATGCACTAACACCTGGCAGACAGTGAGCCTGGGATTAAGGAAGCTTCCAGGACATGGGGAACCAGGGGTGTATGTAGGATCAGAATGAAACAAAAAGCACTGCTAAGGCAAACAAGCAGAATTCTTATTATGAATAAATTAACAACTCAGTTCTTCACAATTGATAGCATGTGTCCTGCATTTCAGGAACTGCTTTCAATGGGTCCTTGCTAAAAGCATTCCTAAAGTTTTGAGCTTTGCTGCATACTGAAGAGAAAGAACATGAGCTGTAGCATTTTGTGGAAATTAGTTTTGGTAATTTTTAAATTAGTCAGGCGTGTTGGGAGTTTTTGTGGGGAAAAACCCCCGAAAGACTGCTTGAAAAAGCCTCATACTACTGGTTTAATGTGCAGTTCTCTCACTCGTGTATCATTCCTGTTTACTGCTTTTAGGAGGTTGTATAAATGTTTTGAAAGGAGACTCTTCTGTTAGAAATCTATTGAAATATTGCTTCTCTGTTTCTATTTCAATTAAAAAAGCCTTAAATTCAGAGGAGTAAATTGTGCCAATGTACCAGCAGTGATTTCATACACCATGTTTCATGGCGCCTTTTTTTTCTTTTTTTTTTTTTGAGCAGAGGGTGTTTCTTTCGTTTGATTGTTGTTTTGGGGTTTTTTTTGTTGGTTTTTTTTTTGGAGCAAGTTTTTGTCCCTATAAAGACTGGAAACTCATGAACTTGGGCTCCTATAGCAGCAATATGTTACCTATTTAAAGATAGACTTTAAAGTGGAAATTGCACAGTTAAGAATGTTTTACCTGGTCTTATTCAGGTGTGACAATTCTTAGTGTTCACTGTTTGAATGTTAACCCCCAATTTAAATAGCAAATACACAATGGAAGCATAACTATAAATACATGAGTTATTTACCAGCAACTCTTAGTTTACACAATAATACTTCTGAAGAAGCTGCTTCTACTGGCATAAAACATCTGCAGTTTTCAGTGTGTGATAGGAAGCACTGACATGATACATTTGTTGATGTGAAAAGATGGATGAGGATTCTTAAATATTTTAAGATTACTGTAGGACTACAAAAGACTAATTGCTTAAGTGGAGGTTTATTTATGTTTAAAAAAAAAAACAACAAAAACCCCACCAAAATTATGTGTAAGTATGTGGTTCCATATTTTAAGACCACATTTAAATTTCTTTTCTGAATCTTCTTGCCTTTCTTGAAACTGTTGATCTTAGGCAAGCTTTTATTTCTTTTTCTTTCTGCCCCTCCCATAGTTTTAAGTCATCCTGTTCTTCTTAGCAACCATAATGTGCACAAGTTAATCTCCTGGTTTGTTTTTTTTTCCCTGCAGGGTGCTGTACCCAAAGGTAATGCCACAAAAGAGTTCATTGAGAGTTTACAGCTAAAGCCAGGACAGGTGGTTTACAAGTGCCCAAAGTGTTGTAGCATCAAACCCGACAGAGCACATCACTGCAGGTAAAGTCTGTTCTGTGGAGGGCTGTTTCATCAAGACCTCAAGAATTATTCACCAGTGTGCCTTGTTATTGCAGTCTGAGACTGGAGTGGGTCAGTTGAGGGATTGGCATACAAATTCTGTAGCCAATAGTACCAGACACATATAAGCTTCTCAGAAGAAATCTCATACCTTTTCTGACAAATTTTCATGTACAGGAGGCTGCAGCTGCTTCGTGCAAAGTGAGAAACACAATTTTTGAGTGCTGTCTTGGTTACAGACTTCTAACTGACATTCCATAAATTGTCATGTAAACAATACTTGAAAAGAGACATTCTATACCAAAATGCATAGAAATCCATAAAATGTCTCCCAAAGGGACAGTGTCTTTTCCATTTTTGTTTTTATTCACAAATCCATTTGTCTAACTGTGTATTCTATTTAGAAGTGATATTTAAGTTAAAACTGAAGTGCAGGTAACTGTATATATATTTTTAAGAGTTCAGACTTCCACATTTTCGTTGAGTACTGTGACTTTGTTTTTGTGCTGTGTGATAGATCAGTATGCCTACTGATCTGTCATGTCCTTTCTTTTTCTGGTAGGATAAACTTCCCGGAAGAGAGTAACTGGTAGTGAGCTTTTTAGTACTAAAGGCAGTGAGCAAAAAAAATAACTACTTCCTAAAATTCTCTTCTGCTTTTAAAGCAAGCGAACCTGCTTTCCAGTAAGTAGTTAATAAGTTTGCACTGGTGTCACTTCCTTGCCTACTCAAAAACCAATACATACAGAGAGAGCTCGCACCTGGGCTAGTGCTGATTCATGCAGTGGTCTTGTGGGGAGGGAAATATGTGATAATGAGCTGAGCAAACTTGTCCTGCTGTTTGCTTTTTTCATGTTTGTTTTCAGAGCTTCAGTTTGCAGATGTTTTTCTTTTTTTTTGTTTTTCGTTATTTTTTTAAATTTTAATGAAAATCGGGAGTCGGTTATTCAGCAGGAGCAATGTGGTCATGCCTATCACTTATTAATGCTGCTGTAAAATCCCCTCTGACAGCTTTTCAATTATGAATGAAACTTCACATCTAAAATGCTGTCTTGATGATGACTCACAGTGTAGGTAAATGAAAAGGACTTTGTCTAAACACAAGACCTTATCACCATTGTCCTTTATTCTGTCCTTTAAGATAAGTTTTTAGACACTAAGGTTTGGGAATGTGATCCACTGACCACTGATACTATTGAGAATCTTCAGTCAGACTTTTTTTTTGTGGCCTAGGGAGATTTATTAGACTTTAAGACACCAAGGTTGAGTGTATGCATCAGTAGGAGATACTGCTAGCTGTATGCCAGAGGGACCAGGGTGTTTTTGATGAATGTGCTGTTTGGTGAGTCCCCTGTGCCCAGTAAATTAGTCCTGGCAGCATTTGGAAGCTGGGTGGTTGAATGGGGGAAGTGTCTGAGTATGGACAATCCCTGCTCCCTGTAGTATTAGTTGTGGTTTCTGTGTTTCCTTTTCCACCAGCTAGCTTCCTGTTCTGCCTGTCATCCAACTGTTTTTGGTATGTGTACATGGAATAAAACTCCCCTCCCAGCTTCCTCTCCTGTCTCTTTCACATCGGTGGCATGGCTGCTTCAGGTAGTCCCTCTAGGGAAGTAGGAGCAGTTGGAGGGTTGTGTGGGTACTCACCTCTCCCAGAACCCAAGGGAATGTGTGCACACCTGCACACAGGGAGGCATCCTCTTCCTTCATCATCCAGTAGGAGCAGTTGGAGGGTTGCGTGGGTACTCACCTCTCCCAGAGCCCAAGGGAAGTGTGTGCACACCTGCACACAGGGAGGCATCCTCTTCCTTCATCATCTTCCTCACCTTACCCCTTCCTTTTTTTAAAATCACAATAATAGAGAGTTGTCTTACAAAGTACATTACCTGGCAGATAAATTGCTTTTGCTGTGCCTGATGATTTTAGACCCCATGTAGCTCCAAATAATTTTAAGCTGCTTGTTCTGGCAAAATGAGGCTTTTTCTTGTTTCCCACTGCACGTGGGGCTGACAGGTAGTAGGGCACCCATGTTTGCCTGAGTGCCTGAGGAGAAGGAGCTCCTGGTCTGCCTGCCTGGACTTTCATTTAGGATCAGGCCTATAGCAACTAATTTGTTTTTCATGCATAGCAGATATCCTTGGGGATTATCCCCTCCCACCAATTAAAGTGAGTGAAAGGCTGTTCTGACAGAGAGATTTGCTATTATTTATTCATACATGCTGATAAGAACATATTTATGTTTTTGTTTGAGTTTCCCTTAAGTGTTTGGGTGTTGAAGTTTATTATTTATATTAAGGTCAAGATACTTTTTGTTATAAGAAGAAAAGTAAAACTAGCAGAGCATTTAGTCCTTTCTGTTTAATTGCTGCCAGAATTGTTCTGGAATGGCTGTTTCCTTTCTGGGTCATTATTTGTTTGCTTTGGGGTTTTGTGTTTTTTCATATTTGATTTCTGTGCTTGTTTGTTCAATGTGGTATCAGGAGACTGCCTTTCATCTCCTATCATATGAGAAAGCAGCAGAGAAAAAGACTTCCTTTATTATGTGTGTTGAAGCAGAATGATACTCAGAGTAATATATAAAGTAATAATGTTTCAATTATTTGACTTCCAGCCACAACTTGCACGCTGGCAAGAATCTGAATTTTGATTTCATTAGTCTGGTTTTGTGAAGTACTTTAACATCTAATTTCACCTTGAATGTCTGTTGTGGTACCATCTTCCTAACTGACTGCCACAACTATTTTCTTTTAGTATGTGGCTTACCTTGATGTCAAGAATCTTTTCTAATGCCTTATTTGATTGCAAGTTCCTGCTACCAGCAAATGTTGGCAAATAAACCCGAGTCTGTTGTTAGCAACTCTGAGAAGTATCTTTATTCATTACTAACTTTTGTATCTTTGTTTATGTTTAGTTTAGTTTAGATTTAGATTTATGTTTAGTTTTAATCTGTAGACATTTTTACAAGCTAAATAGATTAAAACTAAACAAAATCACAGACTTTTTTCCATCTTTCTGAATGTGTTGTTCAAACCATATTTTGGAAAGAACCACTGATGTGTGGCATTAATTTTTACAATGGTGGTTTGGTATTTTATGGTTCATTTTGAACAGGCTTAGTTAAGGGAGCAAACCACAAATATAAATGTGGTGGCAAGTAAATTCTCCTATGTTCAGATTTCACTTCTGATTCTTTAGCTGAATTTCTTTGTCCCCCAAACCCCAGTAAAATCTTGTGTTTTGGAATGAAAAGTGGCGTTAATGAAGACCTGTGCTCTTTCAGTGTTTGCAAGAGGTGCATTCGGAAAATGGACCACCACTGCCCGTGGGTCAATAACTGTGTAGGAGAGAATAACCAGAAGTACTTTGTACTGTTTACAGTAAGTATTTTGCAGGTGATGCTTGAGGTTGTCCAGTGGGAAGTGCTGAAATGTCGTGCATAGTCTGTGAAGCAGCTCCAAGGGCTGGTGTTCTCTTGCTTCATGTTTTGGAAGAACTTTGTGGGGACCTGCTGCAGGTTTCTGTTTCACTAATTAAGAAGCACCTCCCCTGCCCCCCCTCCATCCATCCACAGCAACAGGAAAAGGCATCACAGGAAGCATTTGTCAGGGTTTTTAGGGGTTTGTATTGATGGTTGTTCAGCGCCTATTTTGTAAGGCGAGTAGTGTATTGTGGTGCTGAGCTCTTTGAGGGAGGGGCCATCCTTTTACACCAAACACTGGCTGGTAGGATCCCAGGCCATGTGTAGGGTTCCTAAACATTACAGTTGTACAAATATCTCTGTGGAATCATGTAATAAGAGCTGTTGCTGCATCTCAAAAGGAGTGGGAAGTCTGCATCCCCTTGGATAAGAATTATCCACCTTTTAAATGCAAGTGGTTTATTTTTGTACTTGAAAACCAAGGAGGTGCTTGACTTTTTCTACTATATCTGTAGCATCATGAGTAAGAAAACAGGAGTACAAACTTGAACAGTGGATATTTCTGGAAGGTTTGAAAAGTGTTTCATGAAAGTGAATTGCAAATATCCTGTGGGAGTAGTGTGAACATTACAAGGCTGAGTCTCAGTGATGCTGTGTTTTATTAATAAATCTTCTGAGATATCTGTAGGTTTGAGGAAGTATGTTCTCATATTACCAAGCAGAAAGGAGGAGATTTTCAGTTAAATGACAGGCCTAGTGTTCTGTGGTGTGGTTTGCAAGGATGTGGATTACAGAACAAAATGATTCCCATTTCTTTCCTATGAGCAAGCGGGGTTTTTTTTAACTCAAGCTAGGTGTTCTATTCCTCTCAAAAGGATTTCAGTTACTATTAGAACTTGATATCCACTTTCTATCAGACTGTATTTAAGACTTAATCTGGTTGAGAGAAACAAAATAAGGTTTGCTGGTTTTGTTCTTGGATATTCTTTTTGACATGAGGAAATGAAAGGACAGCAGCATGCTTAACTGGCAAGGAAAACCAGAATGCTCCCCTATTGCCTTTTACTGCTTCCAGAGGTGCTTCTTGTTACAAAACCTCTCTCACTTCTGCTATATGCCTATTTTTGTCAGAGTTTGTAGGTTCAGAAGAGTAATTTTTTTAGCCCTGTCTTAGTAAATTGTAATCTATGTGTAACATTACACATAGCTTTTGTTCTAACTCTCTGTTACATACAGTTTTTATTACAAAGCTGAGACCTGGTTTAAACCAAAAATTATTAAGTACAAAGTATTAAAGCCTGAGAGAAACTTTCTGAGCCAGTGTCTGCCTCAGAGAAAGTTCTTCTTAAAAAAATATAATTTTTCTGTACCTCATGCTGGAAAACAAAGTGCATTTTCTGGTTAAAACAAAATTACTGTTGTTTCTCTGGGAAACTGTAGTGCTGTCAAGAGCAAGGATGTAAGCTTTGACAACAGGATACCTTGATCAGTGTTACTGCTCTCTGAAAGTCGTGCAGTGCTCAGCTGAGGTCAGGGCAGTAAGCTGTGTGGAAGGCCACTCTGGGACACAGGAGGCTGGGTTTTGGATCCAGCTGCTGTTGGATTCAGCATCTGCCTTGTGCTTGCTCAGAGCTGTTCGAAAGGAGAACAAGTCTGTGTAGTTGCAGCATTTGCCAGCTTCATGGCGCTTTTTCAGGGGAGATGGGAGAGCTTCATGGTTTTTGGAGTTGTTTTGTGGTTTGGTTTTATTTTGAAATCTTAGCACTATACTTTTAAATAAAGTGTTGGGAAGATTTAGCATTTTCCTGTTTGAACTCACTTGGTATCTGTATTACATCCTTTATTTTTCAGATGTATATAGCACTGATTTCCCTGCATGCCCTAATCATGGTGGGATTTCACTTCTTGTACTGCTTTGAAGAAGACTGGACAAGTGAGTATAAACAAAATACCTTATTAAAATAACAGATTATCCTTTGAATAAGAACTTAAAATGCAGTTGGCTTGTTTCAGAAGAATGCTATCAAAGTTCTGCTATGCTATCTCTATTTTTTTTTTGTCTTTTTAATGCTCATTTCTGGGACTTCATAATTCTTTTTGAGCTGCTGGAATCTCTGTTCTGAAAAGTCCTCTTTTAACTTACACCTGATAGTGCCTAGGAAAAAGCTGATATGTAAAGATGCCTAAGGAGTATGTGTGCAATAACCTACTGTTGACATGAACACAGCACTAATTTCCTGAATGCCAGCAAAAGATAAGAAGAATGTGTATGCTTTTTTTAAAAGGGTACTGTGAATCATTCTTGCGAGACTGCCAGGAAAACATGCTGCTCATATCCAAAAAATCCACCCTTACAAGAACAAACAATTCCTTTCCTCGGAAAAAAAATAAACCCAACAAACCAAAAACAGAGCCCAAGCAGCTCAAAAAAGTGAAACCAAAAACTTCAGCATTCACTCTGAAGTATCAGTGAGTACATTTTCACAAAGTCAGTCTATGTATGTTCCTAAAAACCACAAATGGATATAGGAAACCCTCAGTGTAATGCTGAGTTGAACAGCAAGGAGTCAAAGAACGTGTGTGCACATGTAGGTATTGTTTGTGAGTTTTTTTGGAAAAGGAGAAGGGTTTTTCCCCTTGGAATTTCAGTAGTGGTATGCAGTATAGTGACTGGTTTTAGATCATAGTACTGCAGAAGATACACATGTGAATTGAATTTGAAAAGATTGTTCTGCACTTCAAAACTTTGTAAAAAAGTTGCCAGCAGTCATCTGCATTTGACTGCAGTGGCCAGGGCCATAAAGGAAGGATACATCAAAAGGTAGTTTCCCTTATGTCCTTTCTCAGAGCCTGTTCCTGTGGGGAAAGCACTTTCCTACCTGTCCCAGGTTTAGGTGGCAGAACAGAGCTGTTAGGAGAGATGGATATGTTGTTCCAGCTGCCTTGTGTTTGTGCAGATTGTGTTAGTTTATGATTATGGTTTATCTGTTTAAGCCTAAGATCTCATTAGAAAAATACAGGCTTTTGGTGAGAGTCTTAGATTTTGGAAAAATCTGGAGACATTCTGGCATTTACAGCACTCAGTTGTATTTGCACCACTCAACTATGACTTTGGCCCTATAACATTATTTCTTCTGCTCTTCTTAATTACCTTCTTGAGTTTCTTTTTCAGCTCTTGCTTGGGTTTGCACTGTTGAGTATGAGGAAAAATAGGAACTTGGTTTAATCTGACCTTCTTTAAGTTGTGGCTTAGAACAGTTATGAAAGGAAGCACACCCTGGTTTTATGTTGGTGCTACATATGCTCATGTCCTGACTGCCAGCTTGAGATTTTTAATGGACTTATCACTGTGGAAAATCTGTTAAGTCTAAGATTTAAGAGAGAACCTCCAGGTGAAATGGAGGAGAATGGCATCCTAGTTGGTGTGCTGGGGAAACACTGAAGTGGAAAAGAAAGTTGCAATCTTGAAGTGTTGCAGGGTGGGCTCTTTCACTTTTTTTAAATCTGAGGGAGTGATTGTTTTATGATTGAATGTCAGAGCTTCCCAGTGTATCTTTCTGGGAATGTTGTTAATATAATTTATTTGATAGTTTGGGTATGGGAAACTTGTGGCTTAGCGGGGGTTTTGCAGCAGGTGCATTACCTGGTGTCTACCCTTCCAACTCCATTGTTTTGTCTTCACAGAATGTAGTTCCTTCTCTCCACCAACTACAGTGATTCTACTCATCCTCTTGTGTTTTGAGGCTCTCCTATTTCTCATCTTCACCTCAGTTATGTTTGGGACCCAAGTACACTCCATCTGCACTGATGAAACGGTGGGTGTCTCACACTCTTGTCTCTCACCATTTGTAGAAACAGTGACGGGTTACAGGGTTTTGCCTCATGGCACAGGGACTCCCATGTACCCTCTGAGGAGAGATCCAGTGCAATAAAGCTGAGCTAGCAGAGTGCTGGCTGGTGCTCTCTGAGGGTTCATGTGGTACACAGGGTACCCTCTGTACTGGCTGGGGTGCTGTGTTGACAGTACCTCCTGTGAAGTAGGCGTAGGTATCTGGGGTTACTCTGGCAAGTAACCCTATGGACTGGAGAGCCTTTCCCCTTTAATGAAGTGCTTTTACATTGGTATTGTGTGAAATTCAGCTGTGTGTCCTGGTTGTCACTATTCACAGGTTTATGTGCTGGAAAGGCTGGAAAGCCAAGACGCGAAGTTGGGGGAGGAACACACACGCACCCACACATGCACACCCACACTCTTCTTTTAGGCTAAAAGATTTTCCAGCCTTAACTACCTGTTCAACAGTTCAAAAACTCCTGCCAGAAGGAAAAAGAAATAGGAGTAGAGTAGGCTCATGGAAACTGCTGGATACAGTCTGCTGCGAATCCACCAAGCCATCTCCCATTTGAAGATGGCATATTAGAGATTATATAGTAATATTACAGTCCTAAATCCATGTATTTGCCCACTTCTGCAAAGATGAAGCTGGTGACTCCTGGGGGTGTTCTCACACTTGTGAATACTTGCACCCTTCACCAAGCACGCTCAGGTAATTGAATTAATCAGAGTGGCTGGAGAGAAGTGGTTGTCTTAAAAGGGGGACAGCTCTTCTTTCCTCCCCTGCCTCCTTTAGGTTTCTTTCCCCTTGTTTGCCCATGGCCAGTTGAAGCTAGAGTAGATGTTTTTGCTGCTGTCAGAGAGCTGTGACTGGCATTATATGCTGTACAAGTCCATTGTTCTGAGCCTTTGTTGCAGTGCTTTCCTTAATGCTTGGCTTCTGCAAGAGGCTGATGTTCCGCCTGTCTGTGTTCAGAGGAAGACTGCACTGTGCTTTCTGATGGGGAGTGCCCCAGGAAGAAGTACAGTGTGGTACGGATCCTGCTGAGCTTGTCTTCAGCAGTAAGTGTGTCAGTTAGCAATGTTGCCTGTGAAATCATCACTTGAATTTCTCCATCTTTGGAACCTGTCAAGAATTTTTAGAAACTACTTCCTACAGCTGGGTGCCCAAATAAGTCCCCAGATTTTCCCTTCCAATGTAGTTCTGGGGACTCGTAGATGTTAAAGGATGAATGCCACGTTCTAAAATAAAAGAATGAAATATGGTCTCCCCCGTTGGGTTGTGGGTTTTTATTTTTGGGTGGTTTTTTAATATACCAGTACCAGTAAGGATTCTGCTCTTGGAACGTCTCGTTGTTGGTTTGCTAGCATTGAGCTAGCTGTATGCAAGCAATCTGTTTTGAGCAGAGCAATAATTCCAGGTGAAGTGCTCTTGGTGTGCTCTCTTGCAGTGTTCTAATTTGCATTTTAGAGACTGGGCTGTATCTTGCCCTTTTTTCGCCTTTCTGTTCCAGTCACTGGGAGACTTCATTCCTCATCTTGAGTATGCTGTCCTGCCAGGATGGTTCCTTTCTGCCTGAAAGGACCCAGAACCCTGTTATTTTGCTGTTATCTCTGGAGGTGACATTACCAGGGATCAGCACAACTCCTGCAGCTGACCCATGTTGTGTTCATCAGAGCTCCCAGCGTCAGTAATTTGAGGCACACCGATGCCTTGCAGTGCATTACTGTGTAGCGTGGGAGACACATGTAGGTCAGGAGCAACCTTGCCTTGCAAAAGATGCAGAGTCAAGGAACTGGGTGATCTGCCAGCTGCTGCTGCCCTTGGGAGAGTGATGCTCTTCAGTGACTGCTCTTACTCATTGTGCTTCTGTAGCAGCCAGGCATAAATGGCTTTCCTGAAAGACCAAATTCACTTCCTGGGCTTCAGATGCAATATAGGTTTTTATTTTCTTTTTAATGTTTAACTAGTGAATGTTTCAGCTGATTGCTTGATGGCTTATTTTTGTTCTGCCTCTAACCTTTACTAAACAATGCCAATGATTTGTTCAAATCAGTATCTTGTTTAACCCTCTCTCCCTGCAGTCATCCCATGCATGTTTTAGCAACAATTCTAATGACACATGAAGAGGAACCAGAGAGACTCAGCTACACTGAGCCATGGGCATTTCCTGAACTTGCTTGGTGAATCTGAGAGCACTACAGAGATTATCTTTGGGTTTGTGGGTTTTTGGTTCTTTTTTTTTTTCTTTTTTTTTTTTTTTTTGGTCTGCAAGCTTGTAATGGTTTCTTCTAAAACTTTTCCATCTGGTTAGCACATAATGCATTCAGCCATTAAAGCGCATAGTTTTTGTTTGGTTTTAAGTAGTGGGGTTTTTTTTATTGACATCAGAGGCAATTGGATGGCAGGTCTTAAAATGGTTCTGAAGTATGTAGGTCTGAAGAAAATGAAAGCAATTTTATTTCCAAGGAACAGCTTCTAGGTTTAGTTTTTTTAAATATAAAACAGTGAGAAGAAAAGGAAAGGCAGTACAGATGCACTTGTATTTTCTTACTCTGTCCTTTGGACAAGGGGTAATTGAGAATAGACTTTTCCCCGAATCCAGAGTACAAAACCTGAGTATTTGACTGAAAATGTGATATTTCTGTTTTCAGGGAATAGAACAGTTGAAAAAGGAAGAGAGAAGATGGGCTAAAAAAACAAAATGGATGAACATGAAAGCAGTATTTGGCCATCCGTTCTCTATAGCATGGCTTAGCCCATTCGCAACACCAGACCAAGGAAAAGCAGACCCGTACCAGTATGTGGTCTGAGGAATTCCTGACCAGCATTTCCACTAAAATAGAAACATATTACAGCACTACTGTTACAAATTTTCCATGAATGTTTAAAACAAAAAGCAAAATGAACTTTTTTATGTCTATTAAATGGCTGATAATTGCAGAGGAAAAAAAGCCCTGTGTTCCACCATTTTAGATAATTCTATATCTCTGGCTGAAACTGCTGCTTTTTTTTTTTCTTTTCCTTTTTTTTTTTTCCTTTCTTTTTTATCACATTAACTTTACTGGCATTTGTTTCTCTTTGCTTTCTGTATGGCATAATTAATGTGAAGGGAATCCTCTCTTCTCTGTTATGACCCACCTCTTCTGCGTAAATTCTCATGCTGTCTCCTGACTGTGATGAGCTCTGTGGATGACATGTGAGTGCCAACAGCCCTACACAGACACCTTTGGACTTCCTGAAGGAGCACATTGCTCTTTCCTAAGTGAACTTGAACAGGGAAGCAGATCCTTCACGTACCAAAAGGTGCAAGACCAGAAGGCAGCACAGCAAGCGAGCCAGTTGAGCTGGTGACCACAAACAGTTAAAGTACTTAAAAGTTGCCAACACCAATTCTCACTCCACCCTCCTTTTTCCTTCCAGCCACAGAACTGATTCCATCTTTCTGGCATTATTTTATCTGTTCCCTCCCTTGTGTGCAGGAAATTGTTGCCCCTTTAGGATAACTGTGGCAGATTTAGAAGACTCTTTGGATTATTACATGCCTTACACTTCCAGGAAAGAAAGAAAGCTAATTTTCAAGTGTTTAGAATAGCAGAATCATGTTTTTTGATGTGTGTTTGTCTTGGTAAATGACTTGTTAGAGCAATGCCTGCTAAACAGTGTTAACGTGAAAAACTGACATGAATGCCCAGATTACTATAAAGACTAATATTGATGGGATGTGTAAGTGTTCCAGGGTGATTGATTCTATATTGTTAGCTTTGCCCTGGTTTAGAGCTTTGTAAATCTTTTCTCCTGTTTATGCATACATGTGTGTGTGTAAGCACATGCACATATATGTGTAAGGGTTGGAAATTGGGAAATATTTATGGTAAGGAGCATGCATGCTGTTATGAACTGTGTGGTGATGAAAAGTGGGAGGGACAGAATGCATTCCAAAAACAGGTAGAGCTAAACCATTCATAATTTCAACTGCTAGTGTTAATTGCAACATCTTGTGTTCAGGCAGGAATTTTATTATATTTTTGATTCACAACTCCCATGGGCTCATCAAATGAATTGCAAACAGAGGAAATACACAAATCAGCTGCATCTGTGACTTCCAAGGAATCTTTTCTTTCCTTGGTTTAAAATATTTTTTTGGAAACTGACCTGCTAGACTGCTTCAAAGCCACGGGGGAAGGGAGGGAAATCAGGGAAGGAGAAATTGAATGGATGTCTCATTTTGGAAGTAATGTGAATGCTGCATCTTTTCAATCTGTTAATGCTTCCATATGGAAAACAAATGCAATAAAACTTTTCCAAAAACTTGTTTGCTGTTCTTTCTTTCTTTCTTTGTTCCAAATCTTGGGAAAAATCTGTGATGGTTTTCTGAACTTTCACTTCTGTGTGCAAGCAGGCAGAAGCATATAAAAGTTAATTAACTTGTGTGTTCAACTTCTAAGTTGAAAAGTGAGTTAATTGGTAATATGCTGGTCTGTTAATCAGTGGTTATTTCAGAGCTGGGAGAGGCTGTAACTCTGGTTTGAGTATGTGATGGTGTTTCTCAGAGAACGCTCCCACCGTAATCATTAAGCTTGCTCTTGGGCCATGGTCAGTGCAGCCAGTGAGACATGTGCAGGTGACAATTTGAACTGGCAGAGAACCTGGCCCTAAAGCTGCCTTGATGCAAAATCAGATATACTGGGGAGAGGCTTTAGTCACCTAGGCAATTAACTAATGAATGCATCTCTCTGTAGTTCACTGCTTCAAAAAATTGTTTTGATTACAAATTCTACATTCCAGTTTGGGCTGATTTTAATTACCCTTATTAACTATGTGTTCTGGAGGAAGATTAATTACATTGTTCTGGCCTTTTGACCATTGTGGAAAAATGTGTAACTACTGAGTTTTTCTTGTTTCAAACCAAATGCAAATTGCTATACAGCACTATATAGTACTGAGATTTTCAGTCAAACTGTGTTTTGTCTTTTAAATGAGGCACCATCACAGAAATGCCACTGGTACCTGTCATGTGTGGGGTGATAGCCAGGGCCTTCAGATTTTCTTGTGCTGTACAACTTGGTTTGATGCAATTTAAATGGTACTAAGAGTCAGTATCAATATGAGAAAGGCAGACTTTCTGGTTTGCTGATGGAAAGTATTTTCTCGGTCAGGACTACCTGATTTCAGGTGCTGGTTCTGTTTTAGTGTGGCCAAGAGAAATTGAAGGACAAGCTCAATCAGAGCACTTCTGTTTTTAAAAAACTAAGTGGTGCTCTGCAGAAATGTGTGAAGGAACTGCTGTAAGAGAATTTCTGCCTTAATCATGATTTCCCAATGGCAATGCTTCCTGTGTCTTCTTAACCATCACTTTGTCTGAATGCTTGTCTTTTTGGTTTGCTCTTTCCTTTCACATCATTAACAAGAAGTTAATGCATTTCTTCTAACATTCAAGAGCTGTTCTGCAGATTGCTTCTGGGTCAGACCATGCAGCCCACCATCCTCCTCTGGCACTGGGCAGGAGCAGATACCAAGGGCAGTAATTGAAGAAATGGGTATTACTCTACAGCATCACAGTGGTCACAGGTTAACCTTGTCTATCTGTCCCCATGTTTGCAACGTTGTGCCTTTTACTTAAAGGGGAATGTCCAGTATCTTATATTTCTCAGTGTATGTCTTTTCAGTATTGGTTCAAAATTATGTAATTTGAAATAGGGAAAGATGATGCTTTCTAAGCACTTTTTTAAAAATTAAGTGGAATAGCTGCATGATGGGAAAGAGAAAGAGGTGTTTGTTTAATTAAATACAGAAAATTCTCACTTTGTAAAATAATGGTGAGAGATTTATGTAAGTATATTTTTAAAAAGTTTAATTAAACAGTAGTGAAATGTCTTCAACAGCTGTACATTCCTTCCATCTCCCTTAGATTCTTTTTAAGGCATAACCTCATGCCCTATTGACCATGCGGCCAGCAGCCAAAATTAGATCAAGATACAATTATAAAACTTCTGTTTATTTTGAATACATGCTGTGAAGGGATTAGTGAGGTCAGGCTGGGAGAGAGAAAGTATGCCCCTGGCTGTTCTGATGAACTACTCCCTAATTGGCTTTAGCATAACCACAGCCTGACCTTGCTTGTTGCCTTGGTTAGCAGATGCTGATAGGAGCAGGTGAGCAGTGTTTTTGGGGGAAGGGAATGAGAGGTTGCTGCCCAGAAGTGTTCCAAATTTGTATTCCCAGTCTAGATGGCAGCAGGAACTGAAATGGATTACCCAAATGACTGAGGGCAGGGTTGAAGCTTGTGCTCTCATGGAAAGGTTTAAATGCCTGATGTCTGTCTCTCCTCCTGCTCTGTGCTACTTGTTTTCCTTCTCTCTAGATGTTCACACTGTAAGTGCTCCAGCCGTGCTCCAGCCAGTTTGTTACTAACACACGGGAAACCTCTGCAGCTCGCTAAGGAACAGCGCACAACCAAAGGTGGTCTCCTGCTTTAAGCTGCCAGAGCTTCTGCCCCCTGGTTGCACAGCCACTGGGTGCTGGAAATGCAGTATCCTGGAGGAAAAGCTCGTGGTAGTTCTAGAACACTTTGCCAAGGGTCTGCTGTGCACAAACTCTGCTCCTCTCCAGCTTGCCCAGCAGGGAGGTAAGGTCAGGCCCTGGCTGTGGCACACAAAGTGTGGCATCCCAAGGGACCAGAGGCTGCAGGAGATTCTCCCTGGAGCACTTGAAGTGGTACATTTGCAAGCTTGCAAGCAGGCTGAGGTGCCACAGGCCTGTGCTTAGCATTCAAAGTCCTTCAGGGCCTGAATTTTTCCCAAATTGGAGCCCTGAGGAATTCCGATTTGGTATTGCATCATTCCTTTCTGCACATTTACTGCTGGGTTTCTCTTAAGTCAGCATGAGAAACGGGGCATGAATGAATGATGTTCATAAGAGCTTTGCATGCAGCGCTTTGGTTTATGGTGTGCTTTCTCCTGGGTCTGCTCGTGCTGACTCAGTGTTACTGCAAACTGAGCTGCTGCTGTTCTTTTGTTTGTGAGGCTGACAACGAGTGCAGCTGTGGTGCCGCTGAGCTGCTGCGTGCATTCCTTTCCCCTCGCTGCAAAGCTTTGAATGTTTTGTGTGTTGTCAAGAAAAATCTGTAGAATTAGAATGTGAGAAGTGTACTGTTCTTCTAGCTCTTCTAAAACTGTTCTTTCTTACAGTTTTAACCCAATCTGCAATTTTTTTTTCCTTTCCTTGAGTTTCTCAAAACTTGGATCCCAGTATTCTTGCTTCTCTAAGAACAGGCAGACTGTGTGGTCACTTGTATATCATCACAAGTGGATCATACACAGCTGCAGATCTGACGCCTCTCTTCCATGATACAGAAGATGGGCCTAAAAAATTGTGCCCTATTTCACACAGTGGTAGCCTTAGAAAAATCATTAAGAAAATAAATTTTAGTTCCCTATTTCTACGTGGAGAATACTACCAGAAAAAAAATGTCGCTGCCCAAATTTGATGGATCTGTTCTTTAAGTACAATCAAAATGTTTGCTTTACTAAAAGTGACATTCTTGGAGGGAGAATGAGTCAGAATATTGACTGACCAAGGCTCCAGTCCCATTTTGAAGCCTCCACATTAACCTGTACAGATTCTCTCACCTCCCAGCAGGTTATCTGGCTTGCATTGTGATTTGTCTTTGACAATTTGGTAAATAGAAGTTGTGTTCTTAAATATTTGCTCTTAACTGGCACAGAGTGAACTTGTAGTGACTAGCCTAGGTGTGGCAGTGGTAAATTCCTGATTGCTGGGAAAAGTTGCAGTATTTTGGCTGTGTCTGAACTATTGCAAAAAGTGCCCAAACAAGATGAAACTCTTAAGTTGTAACTGTAGTTTGTCACTCCTTGGAAGGATTCGAAAAGCTATATGAGAAGAGGTCCATGTTTACCAAAAGGCTGGCTTTTCAGAAGCCATCCCCGTACCCTGAAAATCAACTGATGCCAAAATGCATCAGCAAGATTCAGACTGTCCATGAATTTGATCTTGTGTGAGGGTTTTGCTGTTAAATTTGGAGATGAAACTCTCAGTAATGCAGAGTGTCTGTCTTCATTGTTAACTCAAACTGGAATAGCATCAGCCTGGCTATAGGTAGGCAGTTCTGCATGTGCTACAGTGCTTGGTGCTCTAACGCCTGCTGTAAGCGTGAGATGACCATAAACTCTTCTCTTCTTGCAGGGTATTGAGAGACTTAAAAACCAAAAGCCAACCTGGGAGAAGATCAGCGGCTGGGAAGGAATGAAGCTGGCGTTTGGAGGTGCCTTCTCCCTGGGTTGGTTTAACCCTTTCTCAAACCTGAACTGCGAGAGCTCAGCGCCAGCTGAAGCGGTGGCAGCAGCTCCTGCATCTGAAATAATGACCCAAGAAGAAATTGAGCAGTTTCTGGCTCGAGATGTTGCCATCCAAATGTTGCGTGAATAAGCAAAACGTCCTTCTCCTCCAGGAGAAGCTTTGAGGTGGTTTTTTTTTTTTTTTAAATAATTACTTGTGCTGGAGATTTAAGGGTTGTTTTTAAACATACTTTCTGGTGCATTAAAAAATTCAGGAGTATTGGTCTGGAACAGACGCTACAGCACTAGCAGAAGCAATGCAAATCTCCAGAGAGAGCTTCATAAGTGATGGGGTTCATAAGCTCCTTTTCAGACTGTGTCAACTGCTTTATCCGTCTTTTCTTACATGGCATTTAAGGACAGTTTGTAATTGTCAGATAGATTGGCTCCAGTTCCCAGAAATGTGCCATCCTGGGGAGTCTGGCTAATCTTTTGTTCTTACAGCCCTATGGAAGACTAAATGTGTGAAGGCAAGATTAGCCAGCTTTGCAAGTTTTCTGGAAAAATGCATCCTCTTTAGCCGATCCCATCCCCTCCCATCCCATGGGTGCTGGTTGTGGGTTATGAATGTTGCTAGTACACTGGTCTTAGCAGAGGTGGGATGCAGGGCTATGGATGCAGCAGATCGATGAGCTCACTCTGGGTGTGATTCCTTTGGGCTCTGAAATATCTCCAGGGGTTAATTTTTACCTTCTGTGCTTGTGAGAATGCCCAGTGCTTGTTGGAGGTGGTGCTGGGCTTGTGATGGTGCTGGCGGGAGCATTGACCCATGCCAGTGCAGCCAAGAAGGGGCAAGTGTTGGCTGGGATGCCGAGCTGCTGGTGCTGGTGGGGGGAAGCTTTTCCCAGGAGCTGTGGTTCATTGGCATGTAAGATGTGTGGAGTGGGAGCTGCCTGGCTGAGCCCTGCAGCCCAGGGAGCAGGGGAGCAGTCTAGGCCAGGTACCAGGGCTATTTTTGCAGTGAAAGAGAGGGCGATGTGAACACCCTGTGATGGAGGTACTACCTCTCTCTGTTTGACTTGTATAATTTAGATGTTTCTCTTCTCTTGGTAGCTAGAGTTGGTAGAGGATGAATAATGCCTCCTAATCTAACTGGGTTTAACATTGTACTACTAGTATGTGCCATTACTCCAGGTTTCCTTTCAGTAATTTTGCAGCCAATCCCTGGGGAGTGCTGGTGAACCTTTAGAAGGAACTCAAAGAGGGCATCACTGCAGGAGGCAGTAGTTGCAGCAAAGTCCTGCAGAGGTGTTGCCAGCTGCTGCATTCAGATGCACTGCAAACACTTGGCATCCTCCAGATGTCAGGCTACTTTTAATTTAGACTGTTCTTCATCTGTGTTTTTGTTCCTCTTCTGTCATATCCCTTAAATTAATTGTCACTAAATTTGCAGGAGACTAGAAATATGCTACTGGTTTCCCCCTACAGAACATGCTTGCTTTTATCTCCCCCTCCCCTGTAACCTGAACCAAAGATAACTACTTCCTCTCAAAAGCAAGAGAAAGGAGTTTTTGGGATGAAAGCATGGTATTGTGAAAGACCTATATGAAGTTTTTATTATTTATAAGAGTAATATCAAATGGAATTTGTGCAAGACTTTTTTTTTCCTGTTTATTTTTAACCCCTCAGAAAGCATCTTTGTGTGCATTGATTGTGTGACATTCAGGGCTACTGTGGGGGGATGAGATTATCTCCTGGACTTGTCCTCTGCCACAGCAATCCTTTTTTCTGGCAAAGGTAGTGGGAACAAATAGAGTGCCTTGTCTGTTAAGAGCACAGCTTCACCAAAATCCAGGGGATATTTCTGAATAGTTGTCCCATTCCCTATTCCCTCTGGATGTCTCTTTGTCAGTGAAAAGTAGATCCAGAGAACATCATTAGGAATTGTGTATTTATAACCTTTGGGATAAAGGGAAATACCCCCCCTTTGAGGGGAAATGAGATATCCTCTCATGTCATTTAGTCATGAGGTCTTGAATGTCTTTGCCCTGTGCAGCAGGGTGTTGAGGGAAGAAGCTCTTCCTTCTGCACTAGCCCATGTTCATCCCTGTCAGCATCCCCCAGGAATGGGATGTCAGGGACATACACGGGTCTGTAAGGGATTTCCTTAGGGAGGAATGGGCATGTTGAAAGAGGAAGAGTGCCCTTTTTAGATCATGTTTTCTAATTTTGCCCTGCTGCTCCACCTCTGCATCCAGTTAACACCCCTGCCTCTGGTGCTGTGTCTGCAGTGGGAATGGTGCTAGAGGGAGGAACTAGTCCATGGCTGAAAATCACCTTGAGGCAGGCATATAGGGATGTCAGCCTGGGAGAGAACCCATGTGCTGCATTCCAGGGATGCTTCTCAGGACAGGGACCCTACTGTGGGACATGGCTTTGGGTAGGCATGGATGGAGGCAGCCAGATTTCTTCTCCACTCTCAAACCTGGTTCACTTCATCATAAGAACAGTTGTCGTTTGTTCTATTTCCCACCTCTCCTGTTGTTCCTCAGGTGCTGATATTTCTGGGTTTGTTTCTTTTAATAGGGGAAGGAGAAAAGTAGTGTGAAGAGGAGGGTAAGAGCCAGAGCAGTCATCTCCTCTCCTCCAGTTACAGTCTGAATGAGACAGGGATGTGTCCCTGGGCCATGCTCTCATGGACAGCCAGCTCCAGCTGTGGTGCTCCCAAGACATGGCAGGGTGACTTCCTATGCCCAGCAAATCAGTTCTGGTGTTTCTTGGCTGTCAGTCTCCCTTGGCCTCTCCCAAAGTCCCAGTACCCCTTGGTGTATCTCCTTTCTGTCTCAATGTAGTATGACAACTGTCAGAAATCGCAAGTCTTCACAAATTGGAAAAATCTGTTTTATCCACAGCTTTTGTATAAACTTCCTTTTTTAAGGATTGACTGGTAGCTTGAGACCAAACATGATTTACATGGAATTGAAACTAAGCTCAGTGTTTACCTTCCTTTCCCTCTACACATTTCTTGGCCTTTGTTAGAGCATGCCCCCATGTTCAGACCATGCTGCTATGGTCCTGGCTGGCTTGCCAGGTCCCAGGAAAGACGTTCTGGAGAGCCTGCTTGTAGTGCCCTAAATTTGTGGGGCTAGGGAGGATGCTGCCCCTGCACTGCTCAGTGGGACGTGGTCTGCTGAAGATCCCATCACTGCTGTGACGTGAGGTTAGTACGTGATGGACAGAGTCGTGGCATTTGTGGAAAGTGTTCTCATACTTCTCACCTGGTGTCTTCTACAGCAGGTTTTCTATGCAAATAGGGAATTTACATCTCGTGAAGAAATATATTTTTTGCTGTTTGTAAGTCCTTTTGTGCCTTTGGTCGCTGCTGTACTTTCTGAAGAGCTAATACTTCATCTGCCAAGCACCACCTGCTCCTCCCTACTCTGCAGACATGATGTGCATGGACCCTGCACCCGCTCTGCCTGTGGAGAGGAGCTCCCACTCCCTGCTGTGCCACCACAGGAGGTGGCCTTTGGGGACCCTGTGCTGCTGTGGAGTGACACAACAATGTGGGCAGAGGGGCAGCAGGGGTCAGGGCAGCCTTGACCCCCTTCTGTGGCCTGGCAGCCACCTGCGTGGTTGTCTGAGAGTTCCCCAAATCTTTGAAACACAGAAAAGTGGTTAAAACTTCTTTGCCTTTTTATGTCCTTTTTTGCCCTCTTCCCTTTTTATGGGCTGGCACATAACCAGATGTAGTCACCATTTATTTTTTCTGCTCCACTGCCTTAATGCTTAAGCATTTGCCTTTTAAATAAACAGATAAATTACTCCCTATGCTACTGTGTGACCTGATTTCCTCTTTACTTGTGGAAATGCTGGGCTGGCCATGCTGTGAGACGGGGAAATCCCTTGCTAAAGGTGGGCTCAGGAGTTACTGGGGTGTGCAGTGCAGTGGTGGGCTCCAGCTGTGCACAGCTGTTGTCTTCTCCAGTGTGACTATGGCTGGAAGAGCTCCTGGTGTACACTGCCATCGAGGTTCTTCCTGTGGCCCAGCAGTGTTCTGCGTGGAAGGGGAAGAAGAGAGGCTGTACATTTCTAGGGAAGCACTAGTAATGAATGCTGCTGGAGATGGCAGCATCTCTTCTAAAAATGCCTGAAAACCTTCAAAAGAAGTGGGATAGGAAGACGTATGAAAAATAGTGTTTGGGGACACTGCGCTGGGTTTGCTCTTTCTGAGCTCTAAAGACAAGGAAAGGCACGTGCTGGTGCATTCCCCAGATGGTGAGCTGGGAGGAAGAGGGAATTGCCCAGGAGGGATTTGCTTGAAATGTTCGTTGAGCTGCACAGGAGCCCTTGGTGCAGTGAGGTCCCTGTGTGTCCTTCCGTGTAGGACCACAGCAGTGCTGCCCCTCCCAGGCTCACACCCATCTCTGGCTGCAGCTGGTACCAACACAAGCTCCAGTCCCTGGTTTGAGATGGGAACATCCCCTTGTGGGTCCAGAGCCATCCCAATGTGACAATATCATCAAACCAAAACACACAGTCAATTTTCACCATCTTTATTGAATCACAATTAACTGCAATCAATGCAACTGTGCCCTTAAGGCAGTTTAATTCCCTTAACTTTATAGCATTTTTGCTCTTTAGAAGTACTGTGCAGCGATCAAAAAGGCAAGAAGTGCCCAGTGATGCGATACATGTAGCAAGGGTAGTGTTTGCACGCTGACAAGGCACCGATCCTACTCGGTGATGAAGATGCCCTTCTCCGTAGAGATCCCTTTGATCTGGTTTGAGATCAGCTTGGCTACCATTTTCTTATCTCCTAGTCTTGTCGGAGTGCATATTACTTCAGACTTGGTGATCCTGCCAGGCATTATATCCCTGAGGACAAAGGAAAAACCAAAATAGCGCCAGCATGAATTAGGGTTATTTGCCACTTTTGGATAATTTAAAAAAACAGTCACTGCATGTGTTTAGGGTGGGTGTTTCCCTTCCCCCGTGACCAATTTGCAGCAAATGGGGACTGGCATGGTGGTACTGCCTGGTGGTCCCAGTGATCCTGGGGACCTTCCCCAGAGTTCCCTGTACTGCTGAAACACCAAGTTCAGCTCTGAATGAAGCAGCTGTGCTCACATTTGTTGGGCAGCACAGCAGGAGCGTGGGGGGAGTCCCTGTTATGCCCGTCTGCCCTGAGCCTGTCAACTGCTGTGTGGCTCTTTCTGGCCAAATGTGGTGCTGTTTCAAACACAGCTGGCAAAGGTCCCTCTTACTGCAAATCCCCTAACTGCTTCTTCAAGGATATTAAAAAAAAAAAAAAACAAACAACAACAAAAAACAAAAACAGAGCAGAGTTCTGAAACTGCTGTGTGGCTCTTTCTGGCCAAATGTGGTGCTGTTTCAAACACAGCTGGCAAAAGTCCCTCTTACTGCAAATCCCATAGCCACTTCTTCAAGGATATTTAAAAAAAAAACCCAAACCAGAGCAGAGTTCTGACATGGTCGTTTCCTTGGCTCATCTCCTTACCCCAGCTCAAATGTTGTCATCTTGAATATGCCCAAGCCCTCCACTAGCAGCTTGCAGTTTTCCAGGGCCACATTCAGCTTGTTCTTGAAGATGAATGCACAGTTGAAGTCATTGTAGAGTCTGGCTGTTTCTGGCATCTGGCAGAGGAGGAAAGAGAGAAACAAACCCAAAGACTGGGGATTAGAGAGGTAATAAAGATGCCAGAGGTTGCTGCAGGTTTGCCCACCACCAGCATGGTAGGGGACAACCCCCCCATTCACTTTCCACCCACCCCAAGTACTGTGTTTTCCCAGATGGTTTCTCAACACATTTTTGCTTCAGGAGGAAGAGCTGTGGGCTTGGAGATGAGCCCTGTACAAACTGCCCTCTCCCATCCCCTTCCCTCCAGCAGCCCCTGCCTTCCCCTTTTAGATGGGGCAGCAATAAAACTTTCATTTCACGGCTGCTTTCAACCTTCAAATGAATGCTGGATAGCCAAATAAGAGGCCAAGAACTGAGCACCCCAGGAGGCAGCTGTTTGGCAGATGCCCCTGGGAATGCTAGCACCACCGTGGTGCTGCAGAGAGCAGAGCTTTAACCCTTGTCCTCCCGGAGCCCAGCTGGCAGCTGCCTCACCTGGACAGTGATGGGGGGATACTCGAATCTCATTGAGGTCTCCTTGGTGAGTTTGTCATTTGTTTCCTTGACCTCGGCAATGGCAGTGACAAGGATGAGCACTTCATCTTCCACAGAGGACAGTGTCTTCATGTATGCATCAGGTGCTATTTTCAGGGGGATCTGCATCTCTGCAGGAAAGAAAACACAGCTTGATGTTTCATCACATGCCCAGGAATTGGATGGCAAAGTCAGCTCTGGTGGCTGGAGTCCCAGGGTGGGGCATGAGCCATGTTTGCTGAGACCATCCTGCTTTCCCTTCAGGCCTAGTCCCTGGCTGAGTGGGTGGTACCTAGCACGGGCAGCCCCTGGGAAGGCTGCCTGAGTCCCACCATCGCCCTGCTCAGACAAGCACTGGCTTGGGCTCACATCCAGCACCTCAGCAGCCCTCATCCCGGGCTGCCCCAGCACTCAGGAGGAGGCAGAGGGGCAGGTGGTGGGGTACATCTAAGTCTGCACCCCTGAGGATTTCTTTGCCTGCTATAAAATTGCAGGCTTTCCTTTCACTTCAGATTTTATGTTTGATTGCTTGGACAACCTTCCAGTGGCTCAGAAAAGCCACAAAGTCAGCAGTGCTGGTGCTTGAGCATTGCTTTAGCTGCAAAGCTTCCTGGCTCCTGGGAATAAAACAAAAAATGCTTGTCCTTTTCCCTAAGTGTATATATGTATGTATATACATATGCATGTACATATGGGGCTACCTTTGTGTCCTGCCCTGCTGCATTTTGACAGCAACAGTATTAGTGAAAACACTCAGCGCTCATCAACAGCAAAGATTTTTTTTTTGTGTGAGTGATTCATGCTAGGAATCAGCAAGGGTTGTTAATTATTATAATTATTATAATGAGTGATAACTCATTAATCTGTTGTTTAGCAAATTTCAGTTGCATTGCTTGGGATCAAAAATACAAAACCCAGGTTGCTCAAAGATGTGCAGAGCACAGCAACAAACAGCTCCTGGGATCAGCCAAGCAGGCAGTTGTGGAGTGGGAATTTGCTTGGGCAAAGAATTCAGAAAATAACACTCACCAGCATCACCACCACCCAAATTAGAGCAAACAGAAAAACAAAAAAAGGCTGAAATTTCCAGCCATTTAAATCCTGTGAGGTTTCTGATCCACATGGATGCATACAAAGCCTGTGGTGGCATCTTTGATGTTCAGTGAGGACAGAGGGAGATGCTTCAGCACATCTTGCTCCCACCATGAAGACCTCTGTCTGCCCACACTGATGTATTCCTAATCACCTCCTTGAAGCTGCAGCAGGGCCTTCATGTTTTGGTCTCTGCTACAGAGGGATCCCAGTCTGTAACTGAGATTTCCAAATGCAGTGAAGAGGGAGGTAGGTTCGAGGCAGGCAATTTCTGCTCTTCACAGAGTACAGAGCCATACGCTGCTCTATAGTGGAGCCAGTATGAATGCCAGATTGCCACAGTAAATAAAAACAGAACACAGCAAGCTTTCTGTGCTTACCAGATGGGCCTTCAAGAGTGATGGTCTCCTTGATAGTTCCAAGATTGGCCTGAACGTTTCCAGTATAGTACTGCAGCTGGCAGGAGCCAGTAAGGTCAACGGTCCAGTTCCCAGGAGCAGAGATCTTCACTGTGATGGCCATTTCAAGGGGATTGCCAGGATGCAAAGGTTCTGTATTGGATATCTCCAGGTGGAGCCCAGTCTTGGTGACTGGCTCCTTCAGGACCAAAGGCTGGGTGTTGGCCCCTACTGACTGCATAGTTGAAGCATAGCCTGAGCGAGGCACCAATCCCGAAGGGCGTATGAAGCTGTAAGCTCTTTGCATGGACATCCTTTCCTCTTTGGAGCCTGGAGGAAGAGAAATATGGGTGACAGCTGTATCTCAGTCTCCTCACCCAGAGCTATCTTCCCTTTATTTATGCTTTTGCTGATAAGCAGAGGGGATGTCAGAGCACCTCCAGCCTCTGCTTAGGACAACTTCTTGGTTTATGCTACCACCAAATCTAGCTGTAGCATTCTGGCCTGGAAGAATTTCCTGGAAGAGACAATTTAGAGGATGGGTACTCTTAAATATTTCAGCCTGATATTTTTGCCCTCCTCACTGAGAAGGTTTTAACAATCTAGGACAACATGGCTGGATCTTGAGAACTGTGGGAAGGAAATGTGGAATTATTTTTTTTTTTCCAAAATGGTTTGGGGAACGGAAAGGCAAAATGAAGAAATGTAGAAATGAAAAAATAAAGCAAAGGTCAGTGTGATGACTAGGTCGATCACTCAGCCCATTTCTTTCACTGTCTGGAAGATTGCTCGTGTCCCTGAGGAGCAGCCTATAGGTGTCACTGCGGGCATGTGGATGCCCGGGAGCAGTGCTGCCTCCCGAGGGTTTCCAGGCCTTAGGCCGAGTTTGCCACTGCAGCTACTCCTGCAGTTTCCTCCTGGAAACAACACGTGCTGTGGGGTGACCTGCATGGTCGGGGTCTCCTCTTGGAGGATGGGGGCAGTTACCTTCGGGGTACTTGTACTCCCGGGTGATGTCTTCCCGCCTGTTCTGCCCCACGGCCTTTGTGCTGATGTTCTTGCCGATGGCTTGGGTCTCCGTGCCGACCTTGAAGTATTTCTCCTTGCCGTTCACCTTCTTGACGAGCCAGTAGACTCTGTCCGCGTTCACTTCCGCGTACACGAAC